GCTAAGTGGCCAATTTGAGTAGTCGTGGGGCGGTCTTGGGGCCTTTTGGGGCGTCCTCGGGGCCATCTGGAGGCGTCTTGGGCTGTCTTGAGCCATCTTGGAGGTCATATTGGGCTCTCCGAGGCCCTCTTGGAGCCATCTTGGGCCATCTTGGACGCTCCCAACTACCAGCGAAACCCCGTCCAGATCCAGGGGAGGGGGTTTAGGGAGAGGGGTAAACCCCCCCCGAAGGGGAAGAAGGGACGATGGAAGAGGAAACTCCCTGAACCACTTACGCCCAGGGGGCTGGTGGGATTCATTTGAAAGTTGAGCACGCAGACGGGCTGATTGAGCCCTTGGGACCAGCGTGACGCGGGGTATCAAAAAATGTCAAAAAATGCATGTGCAGAGGCGCGGCCCTGCAGCTGCCCCTCATCATCCCCATCCTGCCTCGTCCCATCATCCTGCGCCTGCCCCGCCCCTGCCCCTCACCTTGCAGAGGCGCAGCCCTGCAGTTACCTCTCCTCTTCCTCGCCCCCCCCTGGCTTTTTCGCGGAGGCACCGCCCCGCGACTGCTCCCGCCCGCCGCCTCCTCCGCAGCCTGTTTTGGCTCAAATGAAGCATGATCACATAGATCGTGCTTGTCGGGCTACCTTGGTGGAAGCCCAGGGTGAGGGCCACAACTTCGGCCCAGAATCAGCGGGCCCGATCGCAGTCATCACTGAACCTCACACACCCGATGTTGCAGGTGGCCAGATCACTGCGGAGGCGAGAAAGTTGATCGCTCGAATGCACTACTGCCAAGCCCGCACTCGTGGTCGCAAGCGCTACGCGGACAGGGATCTCGTCGTTGTTGGCCGCGTCGATAACCTCAGGAACGCCTACAACGACGCTAAGGCATTCATACAGGGTAGCCGTCGGCCGCCCGAGGTGCAGCCGTGCCAGCCGCCCTATGGGGTCGTCTTGGAGCGCCAGAAGCCTAGACAAGCGAGAACGCTAAGATCGGTTCTGGTAAATCAATGAATGTTGCATTTGGGGGTCCCTAGGTGCTCTCTTGGGGCATTTCGGGTGCATCTTCGGCAATCTTCAGGCCATCTGAGGCCGATCTTCGGGCGACTCGGGGTCCTCTTGGACCGTCTTGGGGGCCTCTTGGGGACCTTTCGGCTCGTTTTGGGGTCTTCTTGCATCCAGAGCAGACGCGGGGGCGCGGGAAGGCCCTGTAACCCCCGAGAGCGGCCAGAATTCCAGGTTGTGCCCCGCCACAAAATATCATCATTCTATTCAAAACAAGGGACTCGGAGGGACGTGAAGACACTCCAACATGTGCCTCGAGGCACGATGGCGGACGACGGGACGTGCGATCCGACTGGAAAAGTCGCGATGGACGTTGGTACGGCCCAGAGACAGGTATTCCCCAATCAGTGGTTGCTCTGAAGAGGTCTTAGCAAAGGGCGACAGAAAGACTTGGCGAACATGTCGGGCCGACTTCGGTGGGCGGCGGGGTTCCCGGGCTCCCGGTTGTGAGTTCCCGCCGATCCCGGTGGGCGGCTAAGATCTTGGGTTCGGGGTCTGGGTTGCGGGCTCCGGGATGGATTCGGCGGGCGTCTTTCCTTCCGTCGAGAGTAGGCAGCACGCGTCAGAGAGGGGCGATGATAGTTTACGAGGGGGATCGTGTAGCACACATCTTTTTACATAGCATAGAAAGCGCAGCGAATTGAGAGGTTAGAGAGGGCAGACAAAGTAGAGAGAGAGAGAGAGAGAGAGAGATTACACGAGGAAAGAGAGAGAGAGAGAGAGAGAGAGAGAGAGAGAGAGAGAGAGCATACGAAAATTTACACCATTTATGGTACGTGCAGATACGGAGCAGACAGAGAGAGAGACAGAGAGATGTTGTGAGAGGGTGGATGCGTGCATATCAGAGTGAGGGGGCCGAACGGTCATTCATTGTCCCTGGGTGCGTGGCTGAAGTGGGGATCCTCACTGTTGCGTTGTTTCGTTGTTGTTTGTTTGTTGTCGTCGTCCCACCCGCGACCCACCCCGCGACCCATTCCACGACCCACCCCGCGACCCATCCGCGACCCACCCCGCGACCCACCCGCGACCCACCCGCGACCCGCCCGCGACCCACCCGCGACCCACACCGCGACCCATTCCGCGACCCACCCCGGGACCCAACCCGCGACCCAACCCGCGACCCATTTGCGACCCTCCCGCGACCTACTCACATTGGTGTAACGAAAAGATCGGCGTTTGCGGCGGGCTCGTTGTATAATTTGTAGAACTTTGGCGATTGCGGTGGGCTTGCCCAGAGCCTCGTAGACTGCCGACGTCCCCACCGTCCCCTCACTCGTATCCGCATCTGCGGGGTGCTATGTACAGATGTGTACAGAGGGAATAGAGAGAACGATAGAGAGGGAGGGAGAGAGAGAGAGAGAGAAACAAAAGACTGAGAGAGAGAGAACAGACAGAGAAAAATACATAGACGGATAGAAAGAGAGAGAGAGAGAGAGAGAGAGACAAAAAAAACAAAGAGTGGGCGAGTAACACTCATGAAGCAGAGGCGTGTGAAAGGCTGACCCATCCACTCGAGAAGTGCTCCGACATGCTCTGTTTGGCTTTTCTTTCGTTTAACCTATCAACTGGAAGGCAGGTTCCAGGGGTGGATTGGCTTGCGATTGCTCCGTGATCAGCGCCTAGCGGATGACGGGCAGCGCGCTTGGACTCGAAGGGTCGCGCGACGGATGGTGGTCACAGGCCCAGAGGGAATACATTGATGAATTGGTGTGTCCATGGGGGGAATTGTTCGGTGTTGTTTTCTTCATCGGCGCGTGTCGGATGACGGAAGCGCGTATAGACTCGAAAAGTTGTGCGATGAACGTTGGTCACAGGTTAGGAGGAAAAATGCTAGAGATGTTTGCGACATTCCGCCGACTCCGAGAAGAGGCGGGGAGTCTACGATGGGGGCGTCGTGAGTTTATTTGGCACTATCTGAGGATTCTTGCGTGCGTTTTGGGAGCTGTTTGGGGGCCTGGTGGAGCAAATTGGAGTCAGTTTTGAAACGTCTCAAAGGTGTTCTGAGGCCTCTTTTAGACCTCTTGGAGGCCTCTGTGGGCTTTTTGGGTTTTTTTTTTGGGCCGCTTGGGGGCTTCGTGGGGCTTTTTGGGGGCCTCCTGGGCTGGAGCGATCGGATTGTCGTTTCGTCTTATCTCTCTTGGCCTTTCCTTGGGCCTTCTTAGGGCGATATTTGGCCGTGTTGGACCCTGGGGGGCGGGGAAATGGGGGGGGGCAGTCACTCATCTCACATGCCTGTTCCCCACCGCGCGCGGGGGTCGGCGGGTGTATCGGGTGTGAGGGTCCAGGGGGGGGGAATGCCAGGCGATCGCAAACATGGATCAAGGAGGCGTGGATTAACGACGGGCGTTCCAATAGGAAATCGCTGATTTCCGCCGCCGAGCGAGGCGGCACCGGCCGCAT